ACTTCGAGGCGGAGCTGAGCCCCGAGTTGGCCATGCGCAGCAGCGCCTTCCCGGATTACCACGCCATCGTGCCGGACACCAACGTCTTTCTCCACCAGGTGCGCACCATGGCCCATGTACCCCCGGATGCCCCTTCACTTGGGCCCTGTCTGCTGTGGACTCACTGACGGATGGCCACCTGTGTCCGGATGTCCCAAATCGTAGATGGACGCTCTCGAGCACTCGGCCCTGCATGACATTGTCATCTTGCAGACGGTCCTCAGCGAGCTGAAGCACCGGTCGCCGGTGATTTACTCTCGGGCCCGGTCTCTGGTGTCGGACGCCTCCCGGCGCTGCATTGTCTTTAACAATGAGAACCACCGGTATGTCAGATGCATCCCTCTGTGGGCTGAAGACACCTTGCACGCTACAAGCCTCTGGCGTTTTGCCCGGTCGCAATGCATTCACACACACGCACACACACACACACACACACACAGGGAGACCTATGTCCTGCAGAACCCCGAGGAGACGCCCAATGACCGGAATGACCGCGGTGCGTGCGCCGGCTCCGGTGTGGCCCTTTTCCAGGAGATGGAGAGCCTTTCTCTCTCTCTCGCTCGCTCGCTCGCTCGCTCGCTCGCTCCTCACTCACTTTCTTCACCTTTCTCCCGGTCCTTCGCCCACCGTCCATACATGGATTGGGGTGGCGGGAAAAAAAAAACAAAACAAAAAACAACGACCCAGCCATTCGCACGGCCACCCGCTGGCTGGACACCCACTGGGCCCCTTTGGGCATGCATGCGGTCATGCTGACGCAGGACCGGCAGAACTTGCAGATGGCGCTAAATGAGGAGACCGCCCCCTGCCATGCGCGGCACTTCGTGGATTATGCCCAGGCTCTGGCCGAGGAGTTCCCCGACCTGGCGGACCGGCTGGCGTCGCTGCCGGCTGGCTCCGGTGCCGGGGTCTCTGTCGATCCCCTTCTGACGGCCGACCTGACGCCCGAAGAGCGCTTCGACTTCCCGGCATACCTGGACGAGGAAACCGTCACGCTGGGCGTCAAGTCCGGGCGCTTCCTGCGGGGCAATGTCCGCATTTCGGATTTGAATGTCGAAGAGGCGCTGGTTTGGACGCGCGCACACGACCTGCCGGTGGTGGTCCCCGGCCTGCGGGCTCTCAACCGGGCCATCGAGGGGGACACCGTGGCGCTGGAGCTCCTGCCGGAATCCGAGTGGGTGCTCCCCACCTCGGAGGCCAAGCTGGATAGCGCCGAGGCCACGGACGGCCAGACCAGCCGCGTCAGCGCGGCCTCCTACCTGCTGGAGACCGATGCGGACTTGACGGCCGCGCCGCTGGCCACGGCCGAAACCCGGCCGCATCCAACTGGCCGGGTGGTGGCCATCATCCAGCGCAATCGCCGCCCCTATTGCGGTGGCATCCCCGAGGGGCAGCTCATGCTGCCGGCTCTGGATGAGCATGGCACGCGGGTGGTTCTTTTCCAGCCGCTGGATCGGCGCATCCCGCGGATTCGCATCCGCACGCGCCTGCCCCCGGCGGACTTGCTGGCCAAGCGCATCGTCGTGGCCATTGATGACTGGGATGCCGGGGCGCGGCACCCGCGTGGGCATTACATCCGGACCATCGGCGCGGCCGGCACCAAGGACACCGAATCCGAGGTCATTCTCCTGGAGAATGGGGTCCCTTTTGGGGAGTTCTCGGCCGCGGCGCATGCCTGCCTGCCGGATGGCAACTGGTCGGCCGATGCGGCCATCGCCGCGCAGGGCGGCCTCGGTCGCCGTGTCGACCTGCGTGATGTGCTCGTTTGCTCGGTCGATCCGCCCGGAACCACGGACATCGATGATGCCTTGCACGCGCGGGTCCTCCCCTCCGGCAATGTCGAGGTCGGTGTGCATATTGCCGATGTCACGCACTTCGTCAAGCCGAACACCCCGCTGGACGCGGAGGCAGCCGCCCGGTCGACCAGTGTCTATCTGGTGGACCGCCGCATCAGCATGCTGCCCAATCTCCTGGGCACGAACCTGTGCTCGCTTCTGCCCGACGTCGACCGGTTCACCTTCTCCTGCCTGTGGGAGCTGGACCCGGTGACTCTGCGTGTGGTGTCCACGCGCTTCGTCAAGTCGGTGGTCCGGTCTCGCCGGGCCTTCAGCTACGAAGAGGCGCAGTTGCGCCTGGACGACCCGGCGGCCTATGGCTGGCATGAGGACGACCCGGTTACCGGGGCCAATGGCCGGGGCGATCCGCTAGTCGGCTCGCTGGTGTGGCTGAATCGCATTGCCCAGCGTTTGCGCGAGCAGCGCCGCCAGGCTGGTGCTTTGATGCTTTCCAGCCCGGAAGTGCGCTTCGAGCTGGGCGACGACAAGAATCCCCTCTATGCCAGTGCGTGTGATTGCTGCCTCCTCCTTCTTTTCTTTTCTTTCCTCCTCTTCGCCACCATCACTGCTGGGCGTGGCGGATCTCGATGACACTTCGGCCCTTTGCCGCAGTCAACCTTTTTCCCCTTGCTTTTCTCCCCTTCTCCCCCTCCGCCGCCTCCCTTGTTCCTCTTCACATCCACCCTCGGATGGCGGCGCAGCTTGCACCTCCTCGCCCTCCTTCCTCCCCGCCTGGCCCGGGCTGACACATGCTGCTGTGCTCTTCCTTCCCTCCCTTTCGCCGGTATGTCCTCCGTTTGGATGTGCTGCCCCTCCGGCCCCACGACACTCCACACCCGACAGAGGTCAAGAACACCATCCCGGCCAATTCCCTGGTCGAGGAGTTCATGCTCTTCGCCAATGTGTCAGTGGCCCGGTTCATTGTGGACGCCTTCCCCCAGACGTCGGTCCTGCGCCGGCATCCGGCGCCGACGGCCCTGCGCTTTGATGAGCTCCAGCAGTTCCTCCGGGCCCGGGGGCACAGCTTGGACGTGTCGTCCAACCGAGCGCTGGCTGACTCGCTGGATCGCTGCAGCGACCCGGAGGATCCCTTCTTCAACAGCCTCTGCCGGATGCTGGTCACCCGGTGCCTGATGCAGGCGGTGTACTTTGCCTCGGGCACGCAGCCGCGGGCCGAGTTCGCGCACTATGGCTTGGCGCGTGATATCTACACCCACTTCACAAGTCCCATTCGCCGGTACTCGGATATCCTGGTGCACCGGCTCCTGGCCGCGGCCATCGACTTCGAGCCGACCTCCCAGCTGCTCATCCACCGAGACAACATCACCCGGCTGTGCAATGGTGCGCGTGTGCTCTCGGGCCCTCGATGGGGGGAGAGCGACTTGCGGCTGGTCCTTGTCTCCTCGCCTTTGGCTCTTTTCCTCTGTGTTGCCCTTCCGCCTCTCCGCCCTGCTTGCCTCTTCCCTTTCCTTGAGCAGCCCGCGAGCAGTCCACCGGACTGGTTACCGGTGCCATGTGTCTAACGTCATACCATGTGCTCCGGGAACATGTGCCGGGCGTCGTCTTTCCCTGTTGGTCGTCTCGTACAGTCATCAACATTCGCCACCGCAGTGCCAAGAAGGCCTCGATGTCCAGTACGGAACTCTTCACCGGGCTGCTGTTCAGCCGCTTCGACCTGGCCCAGGAAGAGACCGCGTATGTGGTTCGAGTCATGAGCAATGGCCTGGTGGTCCATGTGCCAGCTTTCGGCCTTGAGGGGTTCATCCCCATCACCAGCGCCAACTTCCGCTACAATCGCAAGCTCTCCCAGATCGAGCACTTGGATGGCCGTACGTGTCGACGGCGCATGCGCCCGTCATGAGCTCACATACATGCATGCACGCATCCGCGCACGCTTGATCGTCCACCTTTCGCGCTGACGCTCCTTTCGCGCACACGGCTTTGTATGCTGCACTGCCTGATCTCTCATGTGCCTTCCCCCCCCCCCCCGCACACACACACACACACACACACCCGCTCCGCCACTCCGCTTGCAGGCAAGTTCCTGGGTGTTTTCGACCGCGCGCGTGTTAGCCTCATGGCCCATCGGCCAGACAGCCGCGTGGATGTGGCCAACAGCCTGCTGAAGATCTCCCTGCTGGCTCCCTCGTTGGATGGGACGCCCTGTGATCCGGTCCCGGCTCCGACGCTCGAGTCGCTGGCTGTGCCGCGCATTCCCCAGCGCGCGGCCGAGCTGGCCGCCAGTCGGGCCAAGCGCACCCAGCCGGAGGATGCCCCGGGCCAGGCTGCCCGGGAAGAGACGTCCAGCGGCCAAATCAAGAAGGCCCGGCAGTCTGTCTGATGGGGCACGGAAGAGGCCAACGGAGGGGCGTGAGTGCGGGCTCACATCAAGGCCCGTCCCAAGGGAGGGGCATGCCCGGTGATGCTTGGGCATCCGACTTTTCCTCCTCCTTTCCTCGTTCTGGTCCCCCCTCCACCACCACCTCGGCCTCCTTCGGGTGGGCGCGCGCGCGCGCGCGCGGCGCAACACCCGCACGCATGGATGGGTCTTGCGTCGGGTGCGCATGGCAAATGCATGCACGGGGAGGATGCGAGCACCGTGGCAAACACCGAGAGCACCCACGCATCTGTGTAAATGCCCGCGTGCGCGCGCGCGCGTGTGTGTGTGTGTGTGTGTGTGTGTCCCAGCACACCCATGTTTCCTCCCCGCTCCTCTCGCCCCCTTTAGACGCGGCGCCACATTGGCCCGGGAAAATACACTAAGCTACTAAAAATGTTGACCGCGTTGGGGGTTGCACCTGACGTCGCAGCGCGCCCCCAAACCAGGTACCGACGCATGTCCCTGCCTATGCTTCGATCACGCCGGGTCAAAGTGAAAAGCCCCTGGGGGTGGGGCTTTTTCGGCAGCCGCGACGCCGGCGCCCGGGTGCGAGGCGCGCGGCAATCTCTCTCCCTCTCTCCTCCCTGCCTTGCCTCGCCTCGCCTTGTTGGTTGGCTAGTTTGTTGGGTTTTTTTTCCCCCGTCACCCCTGTCCCGGTATTTGTCTCTTCCCCTCTCCCCTCCCCTCTCCGCACCCCCTCTCCCTCGTCGATCAGCGCATCCTACCCCTCCCCGCTGCCCATCCCCCCTCCCTCCCCCGCCATCTTCCCTGCGATCCGATCCTCTTGCTCCATCGCACGAGACCCTGCGCCTGGTCAACATGGACAGCTCCTCCCCCAACATGGACTCCTCTCCGCCGGTTCTTTCGCAACGGGCGGCCGATGCCTCGATGGCTGCCATCAACTTGACCAATGCCATGGTGGCCGCCGGGGCCACCAATGCCAAGACCGAGGTCAAGGAGGGCACGCTAGATCTGGATGCCTCGCAGGAGGTGTTTCTGGTGAAAGTACGCGCATTGCCCGGGCCCATGCCTGCCGTTCCATCGGAATGCCCCTCGCCCTCTGACGACCTCGCTGCCCCCTGTCTCATAGGTGCCGGATTACATTTACAAGCTTTGGAGCCGGACACCTCGCGGCACGCGTTTGGGGAAAGTCCGGGCTACGAAGGGCCTTTTTGAGTGCGTCTGCGCGCGCGCGCGCGCGCCGCACTTTCCTCCCGGATCGGCAAGATACATCTCCCCTGTGGTCCTCCCTCTTCCTCCTCCCCCGCCCCCGCCCCCGCCCCCGGCCCTATGTTGACCTCCTGCGTGCATGTCACCCCATTGCGCCCAGTAAAAATCCCTCCAGCGCATTGCGCACCCTCCGGGCACCGGTTATCCACATGGAGCTGGAGCAAGTGCCCGACTCGGTCCTCGAGCCCCCGCGCACCCTGTCCCTGGCGCCGTATGTGCGCAATCCCTCGGCGCTGCCGATCCTGGAGCCCAACCTGCCGGTCCTGCCACCGCCAAAGCACTTCCAGCTGCGACCGATCGGGACCTACCGGCCGAACAGCCACTTTGTCATCAGCGAGGGGTCGCTCGAATCCGGGGGCAAGGTGTCGCTAGCGGCCTCGGTGGGCGCCCGGATGTCCATGCAGCCGGAAATGCGCGACGAGGTATGTGTAGCCCGTGCCCCGATCGCCGGGCAATGCTCTGTGTGAGATATGGCCATGCATGCTCGGGCATGGATGGGGTGGTTTTTACTGACCCCCCCCCCCCCCCCCCCCCCCGGCCCTGCCTCCGTCCTGGGCCTTGCTTTGTCCCCGCTGTCCTTTTGCCATCACTCGCACGCGCGCACGCGCGCACGCACGAACGCCTGTGTCACAGTATCTCTCCTTCAAGCAGGCCCTACACAATGAGGAGCACCGCGAGAAGATTCGCAAGAGGGAGGAGATGCTGCGGCTGCGCTCGCTTCAGGATGAGGCCATCAACGTGGCCAATGTGCGTCATGCCTTCTTCTCTTTTTTCCTGGAAGAATTAGAGCTTCGGTTTTTTGCCCCGGCTGGGGGGGGGGGGGGGGGGAGACGAGCATGTCGGTCCTCGATCTTTTGCAACCTGCACACCCTGACACCCTGGCACACAATATGATGCGCAGGCCGAAATCAAGCGCGACACCGCCAAGGAGACCCGCGTGGCTCCGGCCCCGATTGCCTCGACTGGTGGTGGTGAGCTCATCACCGACTTGGACCTGCGGAACCTTCTGCTGGCCCTCCTTGATCAGAAGGAGTATGTCCACCCACGGGAGGGCATCAACTATGTGGCCGAGCAGCGCAACACGGCCGTCGGCGAGAGCCGCATGAAGAAGATGCTCGGCGAAATTGGCGAGCGCATTCAGCACGGGGAGCACAAGCACAAGTACCGGCTGATGAAGGCGTATCGCCGTCCGTGAATGCGCCCGCGGCAGCGGGCATGCGTGCCTTTCGGACGGAAGGCCGTGCATGCGCACGTCTGCGTGTGGGCGGGTGCTTTTTTTCTTGCGCACACGCCCCTCACTCGAGGGTGCGGAATATACCCAGGGTGTGCCAAATGGAGCTTGCTCCGGGCGGCGGCAATGGTCAGACAACAGGCCGGGGGCCAAGAAACCTCCCATCCATCGCCCCCCACCTCAGGAGGGGAGGGAGGCCGAGGCGCTGTCGCGACAGACACAGGCAGAGAAAGAGGAGGAGAAACCGTCAGAGAGACAGCGGCAGAGCCAGAGGCAGAGGGGAAGGGACGAGGGGGGGGGGGGGGGGAACCTGGCCAGGAGGCATCGTACCTCCTCTTTCCAAGCCCCCGGCTACGAGAGCGGCCGTGCGGGGGCAGGTGCTGGCGAGACATTAACTCGCCCACAAGAGGAGGGCATTTCTGCGTGTGTTTAAAATGAGGGAAGCACCGAAAACCAGTGTTTGGGAGGGCGTGCATTCCATTTGGCCCGGACTTAATTGTACTGCATTCTTGGGAGAACTCCACCGCTCAGTCAGCCAGGTTCCCGGCCGGCGCGGAGTGGGCCCGTGGCCTGTCATGTGAGTGCCTTGAGTTCGAATCCCGGTGGGGGGGATCTTTTGCTTCCTCGCAATTAACACGTCTGATTGGGCGAGGCCCTCTGGCGGACACGGGCGGGCGGGCGGGCGGACGCGGGGGGGGGGGGGGGGGGGGCCGTCCGCACGCTGCCAGGCGTGTTTGCGCGCGTGCCTCGGGGGGACGCGTGCATGCCTTTGTGTATGGGAGGGTGTCCCCACGCCGGCGGCCGGCGGGTGCACCGATGTGCTCGCTGTCTGCGGCACATTCGTGTGTAGTATGCGGGCATTCTCTGATATGTGCATGCCCAATCAGCATGGCCATGTTAATAGGAGCAACGAGTGAGAGAGAGAGAGAGAGAGAGGGTCCACTATCACGCAATCATATGGAAGCGGTCTCGGCGTGGTCGCCGCTAGGCCGGGGGGCTGGAGGGGCGGGCGGGGGCAAAGTCCCGGCCACGAGCCCCGACCGAGCCCGGGAGATGGGGGGGGGGGGTTCGCGCGGGGTAGCGGGCCCAGAGGCGGGCCCCGCCCTCAGGGGAGCATTCTCGATGGGTCGAGAGTGTGGGCGGCCCGGGGGCGCGGAGACCGGCCGCCTGGGCGCACTTCGGTGGGCACATGCGCCGACGCCGATTGGGAGCCCGCCCTTGCCTGCCCCCCTGGGAGGCTGGTTCCCGGGGGTTGGCCGCGGGACCAGGTTAGGGAGCCACAATCGGGCCCAGGGCGCGGGGTGATGACACACCTGGGGGAGGCCCGGATAGGCGTTCCCGGGCATCCCCTTGCGGGCCTCTTTGTTCGCCGGGCTTTTCCGGACTCCGGCCCGGGAGGGGGGGGGGCGGGGCAGAGGGGTCAGGCCGGGGGGAAGGCCGCTCCACTGGCCGGGAGGGCGGACCAACGAGCGCGCAGCGGGGCCCGAACGTGAGGCCAGAACGAAGGGCGTCTCTTGCAGCGCGGTTTTTCCCTCCAGGGGGTCGCGGGGGCCGGGGCGGCGATCTCATGAGTGGGGGGGGGGGGGGC